AGCAGCGAGGTGATGAGAGCGCACTTCGAACGAATGTGACTGAGAGTGCACTGTGTGTCACCTCTTTGGACCTCTTTGAAGGTTTTTGATATTTGATAAGTATGGAAAATATCATATTTTCGTCTTGTACCTATCCCACAAAAATATCTATATTAAATGATATTTTGAAAAGTAGATCCGCTGATATCCCTAAAAAAAGTTATTTTTTTTCCGCCGAGCAAGGAAAAATGTTACCAACAAATATATTATTAAAAAATATATATATAAATATATCAGTATTCATTATACACCAATATTTAACATCCCTAGAAGACAGTCTCGAAGAGTCGCGTGTGAGTGGCACCACACCACCAAATAAGCAAGAACTCGATGATTGCAGATCCATTTTCTATTTGCATTCACAAGATTTATAAATCTACAAGTCTACTTTTCACTGGAATACAATGTGCACCTTGGAATATAGTATGTATGTAGATATCCCCGCTCTTCGGCAGCCTCCACTAGTTCACATCTAGTTCAAATTCACATCTGGTAGATTCTGCAACCAGAAGTCGTCGCTCATTAAGCATCCCGAGCCATTGTTCCACAAACAAAGCCGCAGAACCTTTAGAGCTTAGGAGCTTTAGAGCGCTTCCTCCCCGGTTCTGTGCAATTTAATCCGAGTAGTTTCCATGGAAAACTATTGTGTGGTAACTTTTAAAAACATTTCCATTTGACGGCATTTCAAAGGGCCACCAACTGTCCCCACACATGCCTACCACATGGCTCCTGCCACAGACACACAACTGACACAATGTCGGCCCAGGCTGTCGACAAGTTTTCCCATCCGTCATCCGGCATTCAACTGGCTTTCCTCGGGCTTTGAGTGGGCCCTGAACTTACCTCCTCGATGGTTTCGCACTCAAACAGATAAATGTGCAGCAGCGGATCCTTCGGATCCTTCAGCAAGTAGACCAGTCCGGTGATGGGTCCTTGGAATTCCATGAAATTCTGCGACTGCTCCGCCGCTCCACTCCCATCAGAGTTTCCCGCCGCAGCCGCGGCTGCTGCTGCCACTGCTGCCGCCGCCGAGGCCGCCGTCGCCGCCGCCTGCTGCTGCTGCTGCTGATAAGCGGAGGCCGCGCTGGACGAGAGCGAGCCGTAGGATGTGGACGCGGTTAGGGTGTGCCGCAGTCCGTTGGCGGCCAGCGAGCTGCTGCTGCTGCTGCTGCAGCTGCCACCAGGCATCGAGGCGGTGGCGGCACAGGAGGGGCCACTGCCTGCCGCCTGGCCAGCGCTAGATTTGAGCTGGAGAAACCCATTTCCGATGCTCTTGGCCTGCGGCTTGTGTACGATGCGGCACATGCCCACGATGTGCTTCAGGGGATGGCTGAACTGCAGCTCAAAGTCCGAGTTGTACGACTCGAGTATGCCATTCTCAATGCCCACCGATAGCTGCAAGAAAACCAAGACAACCAAGATGATTAGTATGTAAATATTTCGCAGGCTCGAGCACAGAATTAAGCATTGCTTGAAGTCGGCTTTGATCCTTTATTATAAATAATACAAGCATATCGTTCCTGTATTTCGTATTAATATTTGCAATTTCCTGTATTCTTAGCTCCATTTTATAGCCGGTAATCGCAGAGTATTGGGGTGTATAAGATTTGTGGGCAAAGTGGTTGTGTGTAACGTCCAGAAGGAAGCGTTTCCGACCCCATAAAGTACATAAATTCTTGATTAGAATCTATAGCCGAGTCGATTGAGCCATGTCTGAGATCTCAGAGACTATAAGAGTATCCAGACTCTTGAGATATCACACTGTTACAAGTGTATTTCCCAGCCCCCACAAGGGGGGGAGAGCCTGAGCATCGAGTATAAGTGTAGAGTCGCGGCCGTAGCTGCGACTCACAACGTTCCCGCTCGTTCCGCTTTCGTTTGTGAACAGAGCAGCGACTAGAGGGAATTAACCACGTTATGGCATCTTTTGTGAGAACGTTTCATTTCCACTAGGCGAAGCAGATTAACAGTATTAAATTCTTTTTAATCAGTTTACATACTTGCCTGCACAAGTAGGAAAAAGGGAAAAGAGGCAGCAATGACAATGTGACATGCCTGCCAACACGGCAACGTGGCAACATGGCAACATGGCAACGTGGCAACATGGCCGCTGCTCCATTTCCGGCAGAGTAGAGTCCTCCGCATCCGCCTCCACCTCATCAGCTGGTCTGCCTTTCTCTATTATTTTCTGGTTGTATTTTCGTTTCATTTTTTCACGTTTTCGTTTTGTTCTTGGCCCCTTTTTATGCTAACAACTACGAAAGCCAGAAAGCCTGGTAGCCTGGTAGCCAGGGAGTGTCAACAACTATGAGCGGGAGGCGATGGTGATGGGGGGCTGTGGCTCTGGGTGTGGGCAAGGAAATTGGGTTGTGTGCTTAGAGCTTAGGCAGGGGCAGGGGCAGGGGCAGGGTGTGTCGTTGTTGTGGCGGCGGCGGTACGAACGAAAAGCAGGTCGTTATGTTCTTTAGCCCCATTGGGGATCTTTGTACGAGTGCGAGTATATTGTGCCTAGTCGAAGACACACAGGGCCAGCAGTGGTAGGACGGCAGGGGACTCTCCTTCAGTCTCGCGTTCTCAAAGGTTTTAGATGTACGGGGAATGTGCAAAGAAAGCGTATTTGTTTGCCAATTTAGTTCACGGCGTACCAAGGGGAACGAGAAAACATCCGTGTACTCTCTAATGGACTTTGAACTGCCTTGAATAAAATCCTACATTTCGCTAATTAAATATCGAAGCAAGTTAAATGAAAATCAAAGCACAGTAGAGTGTTGGGGCGGATCCGTGGGGGGCTCCTTGGGCTGGGGGCGTCAGCTCTGAAAACTAAATACTAAGAAAAACAGAACGGAAAACTTTTAACTCAATCAAAAGGAGAAGGAGAAGGAAAAGGCAAAGGCAAAAGGAAAGAGGAAAATAAGGAAACTCAGATGCCCTTCTATTTTAGTAGTTGGGAGTAAGGATACTCCATTGACCCTTCTTCTTAGATTGGCGAACCAAAACTGTGTAATTGATGTCCTCTGAGAAAGCTGCTGCGGGAGCACGCCTAGTGACTGGCTGCCTGGCAACCTCGTAGCCATTAGGGCCGCCACAGTCTTGGCCTGGGTCCCCGGCAGTCCCCGGTAGTCCCCGGCTTCGTTTCACCGTTTGGCATTTAATTAAAATTTTGAAAACGTCTGACACACATATGGCAGCAGTTAAGTGGAGGCCCCGACCGTGACAATTTACTTTAATTAATTTCCTTCGACTCTTGACGAAGGAGCGTCGCCTACCGTCACCCACAGACAATTCGGGCGCTCTGCCGCTGTGCAGCAGACACCGGGGCCTGGTAAATGGTTGATGGTAAATGATTGATCTCTTCCTCTGTTCCAGTTTCTGAAAAGGGATAACTTTTCTACTCAACTGTACCCAAATAAGGCTGGAAAAAAAGAGGATCGTACATGTCTCCTGCATTCGCTCGTTCTTCCATTGCTGGACAGCAACCGCATTGAAATGGAAATGCGTCAAGAATATAATGCAAACTGTGACGCACGCTGCGTATACGTAATATGGCATTTTTCCCTAGAACAATTGACGGCTTGACCTCTTTAAACTCCACTTTGACCTCCCCCGCTCCGCCCCTCTCTGCGTCACTTCAGGCCTACACGATTCTACATGAAATTACACCTGCATGTACATACATACATGTATTTGCGAATGTATGTATTTGCCCTAGAGATGGACACGGGTGGGTCGGAGCTTTCAGTCACGGACTATCAATTGAGGCACTTGAGACTTTCGACACTGTCCCATCTAATCGCAATCGGATCGTTACAATTGAAAGACAATGGACACAATATCCCGTGTGTGTCACGATCGCGCAATCGATATCGCACGAGACCATCTCTAGATTGCTCATCGGCCTCTCGTAGCTTCGGAGATACGAGTATTGCCGTCTAGCTCGCACGCCCACCCATTCGCACTAAAGTGCAGTTAGACGCCATGTCAGAAACAGCTGTTGCTGTCGCTGTTGCTGTCTCTTTCATTTGAATGACGCTGCCGTTGCTGCTGCCGTCGCCGTCGCCGTCGCCGTCGCGTGTTATCGCCCAGTGATTTATACATTTTAACCGTTTTTTGCCCGTGTCTCCATGCGGCAGCAGACGCTGCCCGTTGGCTGTCGCTGTGGCTGTCGCTGTGGCTGTTGCCCAATAAATTGTCCACAATAGGTTTTAGCTTTGTTCGTTGTTGCTGGCCGACTGTAGCCATATAATTTGCATTAACTACATTTGCTTTACTGCCACTGACGTCTTTAATAACGGGTTGCACGCTTGAAATACTACTGGCAAAGGGTCAGGTCCAGAGACCTGGTCTCTGGCTTCCACAAACATGCTCTACGGAGGGCCAATTACCATTGCTTACGATTACGAATATGCCTGTTATTCTACACTCATGAATCCACACCTTTGTCGGCAATCGTATAACAATCGAGTATCAAGTGAATGTTGATGGGATGGTGGGAGGGTGTGTCCCAGGACGCCGTCTGTGAATGCAGATCCCAATAACGAGGAGTCCCTAGATGATCCCTAGAAAACTAAAGGCCGCTACATAGCAACGAGCGAGGATCCACGACTCCTAGCTATGTTCTAACGTTAACCCGACACTGAAGAAGAGTATAGGGGCTTATATTAATTTTGGGGGGAAAGTGGATGGAAGTAGAACGTGCTAGAACCATCAGCAGATTTAATTCGGACCCATAAAAGTATGCTACCTTAATTCTACTTGATTTAAAGCCCTCAAAGGGCTCTGTTAAGGCATGAATTATTCACGTATTCAGCCCCTCGCCCCCGGGAATATGACATGGGGAGGGGCGACTTTCAATAGAAACAGACGGAAAGACACCTTTTAGGAGACTCCTAAAGGGGTCGACTTTGTTTTGTTTCACCGAGTAGGTGGCTCGCGTTGACAGCTGAACATTTCGGAACAGTCAGATCCAGTCTGGAAAGCCCAGCACCGGCACTGACACAAGCCAATACCCTAGGGATCTGATCTGATCTGAGCTGAGCTGATCTGATCCATAGATACCAAATACAAATTGCATACCAAACTATGGGGGAAACATGCGGAAGCAAGTCGCAGATGGCCGGCAAGATCAGGCTAATGACCGAGTTCTGCAGCCACTCTAGCCTGGGGCCAGAGGCGCGGATAGTCAAGCAGCAGGACGTGCACCTGTGGGAGGTCTCGCAGGCATATCACGAGCTGATTGCGTACATCAACACCGTGAGCACGACGATTCAGGGCCTGCGGCTGAACGACAGCATCCCGGTCAGCCCGGCCATCACGCGGCTGGCAGGTATCTTCGACCAGCTGGAGGCCATGATCCACAACAATCCCCCCGTCATGGTGGACAACGCGGCGTCGTTCGCCAGCTCCATTGAGCAGGGGAATAAGGCCTACCGCCGGTGGTCGCGCAGCATGCTCCGGGGCATCTACCCGATGGTGGAGAAGGCGGTGCCCGCCAGCAAGTGCCAATACGTGAACGAGCTGGGCCAGTACCTGTCCGGGTCGTTCGGGAACGCCACCAGGATCGACTACGGCACCGGCCATGAGCTGAGCTTCCTCTTCTTCCTGTGCTCCCTCTTCCGGGCGCAGATCCTGCAGGAGGAGGACGTTGCCGCCTCGGCCCTGGTGATCTTCGCGCGCTACCTGAAGTTCGTGCGGCGTCTGCAGGTGATCTACACCATGGAGTCGGCCGGCAGCCACGGAGCCTACTCCCTGGACACCTTCCAGTTCATGCCGTTCCTCTGGGGCGTGGCCCAGCTGAGCTACGAGGCCCCCTTCTCGCCGCGGCAAATGCTCGACGCGGACGTGATGTCCCGCTACAGGTCGGAGTACCTGCTGATCGGCAGCATCGGGCACGTGGCGGACACCAAGATGGGCACCTTCGCCATGCACTCCTGCCAGCTGTGGAGCCTGGCCGCCCTCTCCTCCTGGGCCAAGATCTACCGCAGCTTGCTCTTCATGTACCTCGACGAGGTGCTGGCCCATTTCGAGATCATGCAGCACATCCGATTCGGCAAGCTGATGCCCTTCAGCGAGGCCGCGAAGGGACGACAGATGGAGCACGCCAGGCTGGGAGTCATGTCCCCGCTGCGCCGTCGCCAGCTGGAACTCAAGCCCGAGGAGGAGGGGCGGCAGCAGGCCCCAGACCAGGTCGGGCCTCCGTCCCCGGACTTCGAGGACTCGGAGAGCATTCTATCTGCTGGCGCCACAAACACCTCTTTGACCGATGCGAGTGTCCACCTACGCTTCCCGTCCAAGGATGATCTCGAGGCTGCGGACAAACATTTATAATCCCTTCTTTTTGACTAAAAATAAAATTGATTGCAGTTCGTAGCCGGATTTCTCTTGTACTTCAAATCGGGGGAACAGCTCCCCTGCCCACATGCCACACATGCCTCACATGCCTCCCATCTGCATCTGCACATGCATTTGCTGACTCGACTCGTGCGCAGAGTGGCAGCGATGCCAAGGGAGCGGCAAACACGGATCCGGAAACCAGCAGACCACAAAACAGAGTCCTGTCGGGCGCAAAACGTCAGCCAGTCGGAAAGGCGTGGGTGGGCGGCCGAGTAGTGGGGGATGGGTGGAGCGTGCGAGTGGCGGGGCAGCTGACGATGATGAAGTGCGAAACCATTTATGCCGCGGCAGATACCACCGAGCAGAAGGCGGTGGACGACGAACGGGTGGGCAGTGAACAGTAGGGGACGGGACGGGTCAAGTGACTCCTGGCCAAAAACGGATAACCAACGGGACTTGAGTGACTTCCCTCCGGAGCAGGCGGCAGGCAGCAGGCAGCAGGCACGGAACAAGCACCAAAAGTGGCATCAAAGTGCGAGCCAAAGCAAAATAGGAAAACGAAACAGAAACAGAAACAGAAACAGAAACAGAAACAAGCTACATACGTATTGATTTTCTTTCCCGTCCATTCCGCAACCAGGCCACTTTTTCCCTCCACCTCTCCTTCCTGCCACAACTTCCACGCGCTGTGACGTCAATGAATGGAAACAAGCGCCGACAACGACGGGGGACTTTTGCTCCTGCCACCCGAAAGGTACCGCCGCCAGAGAGAGGCACCTCTTCAGAGATGGTCAGATTTGGGAGCACCAAAGGGAATACGATAGATACGATGATACGATACAAATGTTGTGCTATGCACATATGTTTATCCATGATTCGTACCCTGCTACGATGACCTGCATGTGGTTATTGTTTGTTTGCACCAATCGAAAGGTCTTACAAAAAACCCCAAAGACGCCTCTATTTCACGGTGTCATGCCACATGACGTGCGACACTTAGAATTTGCTTTATGGTCGCTTCATCGCCAGAATTTGGAACCAACTGATTCTCAGCATTCTCGCCTTGAAAATCCACACAAAAAATGGTGGGCGACGGCCCAAAATAATATAAAGTAGAGGTGTAGAGGGTATTAATTATTGAGCTGTTGCATCCCGACACCCCGCCGGACCACTCCACTCACGGGATCCATCAATTGCCAACCGACACGAGACTGTACCCCGAGAAATACGAAGACACACTCGGACACGTATCCAAAGGTGGAAAGCAGAGCCCAAAATGTTTATTCAGCAACTTGCACTCAAGCCTCGGATGTTAGAATGTTGTTGCCTTTGGACCATGCCTCACTTGTGGCGGGGGGGGTGGTTGGCTGGGTGGTTGCACCATCCGTCCGACCGTCCAAGAAGTCAGCCTGTTATAATTTTCATGCGCTATTTAACATAATAAGCAATAAGCAGCCACACGGAGGAAGGGGAGGAGCTTCGGCAAACATTGTCATTCATGCTGCCCCTCTGCCCCACTCCTCCCCCCACACGAGATCTCTCTTGATGTCTCTCTTCTTTCTCTCTAGGTGCGTGTTTATTTAGTGTCAATTTACATGCAGCAGAGAGAGAGAGAGAGCAAGGAAAAACTAACAATTTGAATAAACAAGTGTGTGCAGGCTTGAGTAAATATTTAAACAAGAAAATACGAAGCGAATTATGGAGTCTGGTCTGAAAAGTGTCAGTCATGGAATACCAAGGGGCAAGTGGATTGCGAGAGCACGGATAAAGTGTCACTCGAGCCTGAGCTAATGGTTCTCGAAAGTGATATAATATCCAGGCTGAAAAAGAACAGAAGGTTCCCCTCCGGATTCTGGCCAACTATTTATTTATATGACACCCCGGCTGTTTGGTAAGCTCCGACCGGTCCCCAAGCCCTCTCCGGGTACATTCAATAAGCATCAACAACAATTGCCAAAGCCAGGTGCCGTCCCCACAGCATCCTCCGGGGCGTGGACACAGGCACGTAGAACGGATTCATTTTAATGCGGAACAGGGCTTCGGGTCCCAGCAACACGCAGCCAGCTGCCATGCCGCTGAGTGAAGCCAAACTGGACAAAAGAAAGGCGGAGTATTCACGGCAGACTCTTTGCATGGTTCTTACAGTGCGTTTCATAGGCATATTTGAAGGCTGAACTTTAAAAATGTTGTTCAATTGAGTTCCAGTTCAATCTAAAGGACGGTAGAAGTGTGAGTGAAGCCACCTAGATTTCTATTTTAAGCCTTAAGCGAAGAGAGGCGGGGGGCCAACTTGTTGCCTCACGTGCCACACCTCATCGTAATCTCTTCTGTGCCCTGGCCATGCCTGAATCACCCCCCGAATCAGTTTTGGAGCCTCACAATAGCCCGTTTCTTCCGTCATCGTTTATCCTGGTGGTATTTTTAGGGACACACCACAGGCCACCCCCAGGGAACGCCGTCTAATGGGTCGCCAATCGGAATAATCATCCTTCATGGAGCGCAAAATGATTAATTAAATTACATTGGCTTTTCGGACTGCCTCTCTTGCCGTCTCTCACGGCTCATAATTGATTTACTGAGCCGTAATAATTGCAAATTGCTTTTAATTGCGCCAAAGGCACAAAAGTGATAGGAATTCCAGTACTACGATATAAATATAGGAGTAGAGAAGATATGTGGTGCGGAAACACATTCGCACATTCACATTCACAGAAAGCAAGTGGAACATTAATTTGGAAATACTCGTAGTCTGTGGAGCATTAGCTCCACTTTGAGTTCGAAGAACACCAAATGCCTTGAATGGATTCATCATATATCTGCATATGTCTGCACCCTTTGACGACGGAGTTGGGGAGAACCCAGACTACAATAATAGTTGAATTCCACATAGGTTTTCGGGATAGATAGATAGATAGATAGCACACTATACGCGAGACTAAAGGACTTTTGACCGACTTTTCCAATCATTACCAACGTTCAGTGGAAAAGAGGGAAAAGATTGGAATGCACTTGTAATGCCTCCTAATAAAGTAATAATAATAATTCTCGTGTTTTCCCGTTCCAACAGTCGGACTCACCTTTGTGTAACTCTCCGTGGATCGTATGTCGTTGATTGTCCAAGGCAGCATGGAGGCCGAGTAGCGGGGATCGACGGATGCACTGCCGCGATAAGTGAGTGAGACCAGACGCGTTTTCATCTTGCTCCCTTGGTTTGCTCAAAATCAAACTGTGTTACGTATTTTTACTGCACTCTGCGCACTGATGCCGCACGGTAAAGAGTTCAAATTGTAAGCCCAATCGAGTTGCGGACCATTTAGTTACATGTTTTGCGTTTTATTTGCTGTGCAAATGGCTTTTTAATCGTTTTTGTAGCGTGTGCCGTCTGCAAAGTGGAGGAAGCAGAGTCCGAATCAATATTTAATGGACCCACAGTAGGGGCAGAGACGGACGTGGACATGGGAGTAAAAGTTGCTGATGGAATTCGAAGTTCGTGTCCTGCATGAGTCACCAGCGGGAGTGTCCTCGAGGGGAAGAAGTGCTGGGGGGACTGGTAGTTCGCGGACAACAGCCACCTGACTGCGCCACTTGAGTGTGTCTGAGACGATACGAGATATGTGGGGGTATGTGCTGATGTCCTGGGTAACATCCGAGGGGAGCAGCGAAACTTACTATCAGTATTGATTTTTTTTCTGCCACTCGCCGTCTTTGTTTCCCCATATTCATGCACACACATTTGCAGGGACACAGACAGTGGCAGGCGCAGAGGCGGTGGAGGGGGGCGGGGGCTGGAGCTTGGCAGAAGAGCAACACTAAGTGGGTGAAAGGAGAAGTTGGAGGAAGGAGGAAAAACCAGCCACCCCCACGTTCATTGGGAAGACGGGGAAACGGGGCAGCGGCGTCGCCACCTGGAGCAGCAGCAGTATAGTGTGGCTGGCGGGGAGAGGGAGACGGACTGGGAGAGAGTCCACCCCTAAAAATGCCAATGTTGGAATTTACTTTTGCATAAACTTTTTACTCTTCTATGGTTTCCACAGACACACACACACGCACAGGCACACGCACCAATAGTTTACTTTCCTGCCTCTGTGTTGGTATGCTTTTGTGTCCAAACACACAGGCACAGACTCGCGAGCGATTTGCAACAATGAATATAGAAATGAACACGGGAAAGTCCGCAGACAAGTTCTACTTCCTTGCACGGCTTCGATTCGATTGCTCTTTGCTCTACGACTTTGACAGTTCTCCTGCGTCCTTCGTCCTGCCGACCGTCGAGGAGGACGCACTGCGCAAGCGCCTGCATGACATTGAGATAAGTTTATTCGCGGCACTACTTTCTCGCTTTTCCGATCTCTTTACTTGCATTCATCTTTATTCTGCATTTACTTCATCACATTAAATAGACACAAGTTGGGAAAAAATTGAACAAATGCGCGTCGTTGCTCCGATTGCAAAACAGCTGTTTGCTTCTTCTTCTTCATTTTGCCATTCGCTTAAGCAGTGTTGGAAATCGTCGATGTTTGCGCGCCAGCCCTAGAATATTTAAATATTAATCAAATGTACATTAACGTTTTTGATTTTTGTTATCATAATATTGAATGTCATGTGCTTTTAAATAATGTGGACTTCTTCTGTGCCATTCTTAATGGCGAACGAGATACGGGTAGCAGCAGCAGCGGCGACACTTTCTTTTCGGCTCGGCGACATGATTTAAGACATGATTAAGCATGTGACACGACACTTATAGTCTCATACAAAAAGTAAGTAATCACGGATAGGGCTTTAAAATTATATCCTTGAAAGACTTTAATATTAGTTCTCTGATTAGTTCTTCTGATAGTATCGGTTTTTGAAATCATTCCATTAAAAACTATCGATAAGTCCGCGGTCACACTGATACTAATTCAATGTAATAACTATTGCCTTGCTACTTTTCAATATGAATTTATTTTCTTTTCGTTTTGCCAGCCCTGGTCGTTTAAGCCATCGCCTTACCGTGGCACGTCTTGGCTCAAAGCCTCTTGTAAGGTAAGGTAAGCGAAGCCACCTATTCATTTAAGCTGTAACTCGCTAAGCAACAGGTGCGCGTGCGCTGTCAACTTAACGTTTTCCCCGCAGTCTCGTCTCTCCGATTCTCCGTGGCGCCCTAAGCCAGCCATTGATCGTGTGTTGATTTTTGTGTTGTGTGCGTGCTAGAAGAAGAGACTTTCACTACGGGTCACTTTTAAAACTCAACCCCAAGCCATCCATAGCTCCAGATAGCTCCAGCTCGCTCCGAGGCTTAATTAATGCGCTTCGCACGCGTTGTCATGGCCATATAGTAGTAAAAGAGCTGGAGTCAGGGCTATAGCCAGAGTCGGAGTCGGAGTCGGCGGTCCCAAACGTGTTGTTTTTATGGTTTTTACTTCGCTGTGAAATTCGTGTTTTCGCATTCGCGCATACCTTGTTGTAATATCTCGACTTCTTTTCGTTTATTTCTCACCCAGAAAACAGAAACACAATAAACCCGAGAGAGGTTCCCTCCAGCCGAGTGTTTTAGATTTAGTGAGAAAAGTCACTAAAGAGATACATATGGAAAGAAAAACGCAAGAGACAGTTGTCGCGTCGGAGCGGATTGTCAGAGTGGTACCGTTAGTGCGCGAGTGGCTGTTTAAACATAATTTAAATAATGATGAATCTGCGCTCGTAATTGATTTAAGTAGCGCAGCAGACAAAAACAACAACACCAACAACAGCATTTGCATAATTTTCCCCACTCTCACACACGTACACACACACTGATGCGGGCCACAGACACTTGTGGTGCTAACAGACAAAGAGCGAGAAAATTCGTTGCGCTTCTAGCTGCCACTGCAGTGGCCGCAGCAGCAGCAAGTGCCAATTGTGTCGGTGTGTGTGTGTGGTGCAGTCATGAGTGTGCACCAATGTTGTTGTTGTGTACTTAAATGGACAAGTTAGAGTCCACATTCCACACAGAACAGAATAGAATAGAACAGAGCAGAGAAGAGCAGAACAGAAACAGAGAAGAACAACAGCGGCAATGGCTGGCCAAGAAGAAACTGCAACTTTATCTATTACTTTGTGCGAAAATTTTAGAATAATTGCACATACACATTCTCTGACCGATGGAAGAGAGTGGAAAATGTGCAGTTGATGTGCATTATTTGTAATTTGTGCTGCATCCAATCGTAAATACATATTTATGTTATGTTCATGTGTGGAACGGAAAGTATCCCCTGCGCCTGCGTGCAGTTCTTTTACCTTCCACCCACACAGACACCACACACCACACACACACATGCACATTCACATTTGGATTTTGTGTCAAGCCTCGACAGCTTCGCTGCTCTTTTCTGGCCCACACACATGCCTATTGAACTGAATCCATAGCCCTGACACTGCTGCTCTGCTGTTGGCCTTAATTAGCATACGAGTAACAATAGACAATAACGACAACGGCTTGACCCTCTGAGATGGAGATGGAGATGGAGCAGAAGAATGGTTACAGTAATATAATTAGAACGGGCGAAAGGCGGCAAAGGTTGCACAGTGGGTCGAAGTATTCGGGAGACGAGTGGAAAAAACATCTGCTCGCCAATCCGGTGTGACCAGGTCGAGTGTAAGATGGAATGTGACTGATAAAGAAGGTCTCCATCCTCCAGGGGATAGATTGAATGGGAAATGGATGAGAGCTGGAGCCAAGGACTTCTTTGACTTCTCGACCTACAGAGAAATTTGAGCTATTAAAGACATACGCTCTACCAACTCTGCCTGGGCCATCTTCACATACAAATACATACATCTTCCAAACAAATATCTCCATTGTTTGCTGGAATATATTAACACTCAAATTCTATTCTGGGCAGCCGAGACAAGACCCTCACGTATTTCACTCCGTCCGCCCACAGCACCGGTAGAGGCAAAGGCAGGGGCACGGGCAGGGGCTAAAACTGTAAATGTGAATACAGCACAAAGCCAACAACAAACACACGGTTTTCAAAGAATTCATAAGCACGCGCTAATGCGAATACTAATTCCATTCCATGCGATCTCTACGCGTTGCTCTGCACCGCGCCCCACTGCGCCACCTCCGATCTCCGATCTGCCCCACTCGACCACAACCAGCCCAGCAGCAGCACGACTAGTGCGCGGTCGGTGCGTGAGGTGTCTCGAAGCACCTGTAGTCGGACGACAATCGGGCAACGTAACCGACTGCCCCTGCGTGCTCGGGTTGCGTCTGGTTAGAAGCCGCACTCGTACACTCGGCCGCCTCCGGGCAGGAAAGAAAAGAAATACCAAAAAAGAAATATAATAATAATAATAAAGCAAAAGAAAAAGAAACGAGAAACGAGAAAACTGCGCTGAAAACCGGTTAATGTGAAAATGAAAGAAAACTTTTGAATTTATTTTTTCCTTGTGGATAATGTCGCTGAAGAGTTGGTTTTTCTTCTTTCCACAGTTCGAATTTGGTGAAATCAATGCGTAGAAAGTGAATCCGAGGTTGGCGCTGACGTTACGCAAAGCCGTGGAAAAGTGAAAAGCCGTGGAAAACCTGGCCGCTCTAAAAGTGCACCAGCACCTGCCCATTTGGATATTCGGCGACTGATTGCCGTTGCGTGCGCCGCCTGCTAGCCAGCTCCTAGGCTCTAATTGTCGGCTGTCAAACCGGAGCAACACCTGGCCGATCGTCGGCCCCCCTGCCGGCACAAAGCGGCCGCCGCATGCGTCTCATCCAAACGGCCACCGGCGGTGCTGCTGCGACTGTTCTGCAGTCCCACTCCCAGTCGCAGTACAACTACACCAACATGCGCGAAGATGATATCGAGCTGGCCATCAAAGTGGTAAGTTTCTGCTGCAAGGCTGTTATGATGCAACCACACCTCACCTGCGGAGAGATCAGTCCTGGAATCGCGAGGCTGCCCCTCCCTCTGGGTCTGATCTGTGCCAGTGCTCGTGCTTTGCCACGAATAACGAAACTGTGCAATTATGAGCCTCTCCAATGCTCCAATGCTGATTCATTCCTAATTATTTGCGTCGATTGTAACAAAATGTATGTATGTATGTACATTGGGCTTCGGTTAATTACTTCAATACAAGCGCAAGTGATCTGGTGGGGGCTCTGGTAATCAGAATGGACAAAAGAATGGCTAGGCCCGGCTAGGACACGAATAAGCAGACACAAGAACCAAGAAGAACAAACCACAAGAACGTTGGAACGAAATTTTAAAAACGCATTCTCTATTCGCAGGTAATTGTTGGAAACGGCGGCGTTGGCAAGTCCTCGATGATCCAGCGCTACTGCAAGGGCATATTCACCAAGGACTACAAGAAGACAATCGGAGTGGACTTCCTGGAGAGGCAGATCGAGATTGATGGGGAAGATGTGCGCATAATGCTGTGGGACACAGCCGGGCAGGAGGAATTCGACTGCATAACGAAGGCTTATTACCGGGGGGCACAGGCTTCAGTGCTCGTGTTCTCCACGACTGATCGGGCCTCGTTCGAAGCTATCAAGGACTGGAAGCGCAAGGTGGAGAACGAGTGCAACGAGATACCCACGGTGATTGTGCAGAACAAGATTGATCTGATCGAGCAGGCCGTAGTCACTGCCGACGAGGTGGAGACACTGGCGAAGGTGCTCAACTGCCGTCTGATACGCACGTCCGTAAAGGAGGATATCAATGTGGCCTCCGTGTTCCGCTACCTAGCTACCAAGTGCCATCAGCTGATGACTCAGAGCTACGACCAGACCGGCAGCCAGCAGCACTCGTCCAACCATCCGCCCTACAACAGCACGCCCACAATCAGCGCCTTCAGCCCGACCTTCACCAAGTCCAGCAGCGGCACCATTGTGCTCCGCCCGGCCAAAAAGGGCAGCGGGTCCAGTGCGGCGCGAAAGCGCAAAATAGTTCTCAAGAAGTGCGGCATCTTGTAATGGAAGGGGATCAACGCCAGCCAGGGGGGTTGTGCCAGCTAGGCAGGCAGAGGCAGTCAAGCAGGGAGTATAGATGGATGGATGGACGAGATGTTGGCAATTAATAACTGGAGCATATTTAACGCTTAATTATTTATGAGCCTAATGAAGTTGTGGCCAGGTGGCGGTGGCCAGCCAACCGTTATATGCACAGCCACAGCCAATCACTAGTCGTGCACAGACTCCGCGTGATGTGGCCCAGACATGCGAGAAAGCAGCGATAATCGGAACCAGTAAAGTGCATCTTCGGGACACACCTCGAAGTGAAGATACCCTTGCAGATTTACATACATACTAAGGCACTAAGAAGTAATATTTAATTAAATTTGCAAGTTACAAAATACATTCAAAACCATGTAGAGTGCTTTGTGGTATCTAGACCAATATCTAGAATATTCGAATCTACCCGCGATCTGCAACGGTATTCGAGCTCTCAAAACCATAACAACCAACATGCATTATCATATGCAGCTACTCGAAAACTACCCTAATTAGCTATAGATATCAAATATCAAATCAGACGGGATGTATTGTATTATGCCCCCCTTCTATAACGGAGACTGATGTAGCAATGCTCCTCATATCGGATATGTACATATACTTTTATATGGGTTCTCGTACCGGCCTAACCAATTATTAAAATTAAAAGGCTATTCACCACGCTAGCCCAGCCCAGATGTTCATGTGAGATAGATCCCTCCGCCAATTAGCTTTGGAGAATGTGCAATTAATAATTCAGCTTATATAATTATTCGCGAATTGCGAGTCATGACAAAGCGTAATTCAGCTCGTCTTTATAGGGAACCAGTGTCCAGTGGTCCACGTTCTATGCAAAAATCCCCCAGTCCACAAGTGGGCTACAACAATATATCAAACTATATCCCTATCCTAAGCCTATTCTCATATTGTATCTATATGTTTAATTTTGTATTTAAAATATACCTACAATTAATAAATTATTTTTGTATAAATGGACCCAAATAATAAATTCAAATCGAGAACAAGCAACAAGGGCGGGCTTGAAGAGTCCCACTAAAAAGAATAACTGCTTTTAATACCCATCCAGATGGACCGATCTTATAGATCCTATGATTATCATATGGTAATTCCATTTTGATTCGTTTAGGCATTCATATCTACACTTTATACTCCTCTCGAACGGTTCGACCGATTTATATACATTTTTTATACCCGATACTCAAAATGAGTATTGGGGTATATTAGATTTGTGGTAAAAGTGGATGTGTGTAACGTCCAGAAGGAATCGTTTCCGACCCTATAAAGTATATATATTCTTGATCAGCATCAATAGCCGAGTCGATTGAGCCCTGTCTGTCTGTCCGTCCGTCCGTCTGTCCGTCTGTCCGTCTGTCCGTCCCCTTCAGCGCCTAATGCTCAAAGACTATAAGAGCTAGAGCAACGATGTTTTGGATCCAGACTTCTGTGATATGTCACTGCTACCAAAATATTTCAAAACTTTGCCCCGCCCACTTCCGCCCCCTCAAAGGGCGAAAATCTGTGGCATCCACAATTTTAAAGATACGAGAAAACCAAAAACGCAGAATCGTAGAGAATGACCATATCTTTTATGCTGCAGAATCTGAATTGGATCGTATTATTATTATAGCCAGCATCAAGAAAACAATTTCATTTTTTCTCGCCCTGTCTCTCTCTAACACACACGTAGCATAGGCGGCTTTGCTTAGAGTAAAACATTAGCGCCTAGATCTCAGAGACTATAAAAGCTAGAGCAACCAAATTTGGTACCCACACTCCTAATATATCGGACCGAGACGAGTTTGTTTCAAAATTTCGCCACACCCCCTTCCGCCCCCGCAAAGGATGCAAATCTGGGGATATTCACAAATCTCAGAGAATATTAAGGCTAGAGTAACCAAATTTAGTGTCCGTACTCCTGTTAGATCTCACTATAAAACGTATATCTCAAAATTTCGCCCCACCCCCTTCCGCCCCCACAAAGGACGAAAATCTGTTGCATCCACAATATTGCAGATTTGAGAAAACTAAAAACGCAGAATCATAGATAACGACCATATCTATCAGATTGCTGAATCTGGATCAGATCAGATCATTTTTATAGCCAAAGGAAACAAATCAATTTGCAGTGGCTACGCAGCGCGTGACGTCACGCTCAGACTGATTTTCTGTCTCTCTCGCACGTACTCTTTGTCGTGTCGTTAAATATTAGCGGCGTCTGCCGGAGGAGAGCCATACTGACTTAGTATCGGGTATAACCGTAGAGTTGCGGTGTCCGCAGCAACTCACAACGTTCCCCCTCGTTTTTGTATATTAAGTAGGGTTATTAAATGTTTTTCACCCTCAGGCCAACAACTACTATTTTCTAATCGGGATTTGTAAGAACAATATTTGCGCACCGATTTTCATCAGCAGTTTGAGTGTGTGCTACAGTGAACAATGGCGAACATGCGAACATGCGAAATAGTATAGCAGAAAGAACTGACGAACGATTCCACAAAGATAACGATAATGTGATTTAATCATAAACGACAATTGGAACAGAAAATTACAGGCAACGACAACAGGTACATCGAGCATTTACATCCTATTCGTTCCTTCGTCTCGCATTCGAGTGGGTGGCAGATATTGAATATTTCGCTAATCCGAAAGTGCTGATTGCGGCAATAGACAAAGAATTGTTACTGTTATCATGCGCTCAAATTAAAACATGAGTCAAATTAAAACACCAACAGAACAGCTTGCTCATCGGGTCGAATCAAACATATGTATTTCTGAAGCCCATTCGCATGAATATAATTTTATTGAATTTTACACTGATACATTCAAAACGACAAGACATGGCTGTACCAAATCGTTGTATACAATTCAGTCGAATAATGTTGACATTCAGTAACATTCCATTGAAGGCATTTTTGTTCCACCTGAGGAATCAGTGCGTCATTTGCTCTACAGTGTTTAAAGATACTCCACTAAAAGATGCCAGATAAGATTCTTATTGGAAAGGCTTCTTATGTTCTTTATGGAATATGAATACGGTAGATAATATCTGTACTTCCATCCTAGTGGACAATAAAAAGTCTCCAGTTGTAGTTTTCAAATGTTTACCATTTTTTATTTGATTTTCGCTTTTACACTTGTTTTTTTAAGCTTGAAAATTTCGCAATCCGCTTTTGTTACACCATCGCTTACACGTTTCCTCATTAAATAGTTAAAGTATTATATAGTTTTAATTTAGTTTTTGTGTGTGTGTTTATTTACAATTCGCGTTAAAAAATCGTCGCCCTAACACGCAAAAACCAATAAATGTGTTTATATCCTACTTTGTTGTCGTAATTTTCAAGTGTTTCCTGGTTATGAATAAAGGCATAAATAACTATTCGTCGATTTCCGTTCTTAATTATTTACAAAAAGTTGAAAAATCAAGACACCCTAGATATAGAGAGGGGGGAGAGAAAGTAGACACTATTGGGGGGTGTCGAGGAAGAGAGAAAGCTGAGCATAAAACTGTGTTTTGTTCTTCCGGGCTGAGCCCAATATATAGCATGTGAGTGTGTGTGTGTTTTGTGTATTCTGTGTGTGTTCTGGTCGTTGAAAAATCCTATAAAAAATATCATTTTATCATCCAATCAATTTTTACTCGCTACGGAACTATGCAATGTGATTATAAATTAAAATTCTTGGCACTAAAATAAGAAAAAAAGAATCACATTAAACCAAAAACTAATTGTTTTGTGTTCAATTTTTGATTTAAAAGTAATTGTCAGCGTATCTTAATTTTATTTCAATATTGCAACATGTGCTGTTGTGTGTTTTGTGTGTGTGTGGGTGGGTGGTGTGTGTAGAAAGGGAGAGAGAGGCCCTCTTCGAACTCATTTACAGGAGTCTTCGATTAGGTTATAGTACATTATGTAGACTACATTAAAACATTTGCTTTCCGTTTAGCTTTAGCTTTAGCTATAGTTATTGTTTTTCTTTTGAATATATATGTATTCTGCACTTGTTAAACTTTAAATTATTTAAGTATGTATGTCTAGCGTTTCACGTTGCTGTTGCTGTTGTTTTCCGTTGCTGTTTTAGGGGAGTGGCTGGTTTTGTTGTTGATCTGTCGGTGTCGGTGTAGAGGGTTTTGTGGCCCTGCCCGGCCCGGCTTAACTTTCGGTTCGGTTCAGTTCCTACATTGAGTAAAAGATCTAGCCTAGATACACACGCCATATACATAAATATGTATATATGTACGTAGTTATATATATTTTACTCTCAATTATCGTATCCTATTCGGAAATGGGAAAATCGGCATCAGCATCGGCCTCCGTGTCCTCCCTGCCCTCCAGCGAGCGGTACTCGGTGTCAGAGTCCTCGCTTATGGCCGCCGTACCACTCGACATTGGTATTATGGGTGCTGTAGTGGATATAACAGGCTCCTCCGCCCTAACACCCGCAGGTTTTCCCGGAGCTGCGGGCACATAGATGGTAATTGGTTGTGGCTCCTTCGCATCTGCAGTCGCCTCCGACTCGCCGGTCGCTGCTTCATTCGGATTCCGACCCGCCACAGGCGCTACAGGCGCTACAGGCGGTGCAGTCGCCTCGTCCTGACGCTCTGGTAGTTGTGTTAGGGGTTGTGTTATTATATCAGCAGAGGCCAACAGTAGATCCAGTTTAAGTTTGCTCGATGCCGTTGGCTGCTCTGTTATCACAGACTGTGCTTGAGTTGCTGCTCCTGCCCCTGCTTCCGCTGCAACCGCTAATGCTGTTGCCGCTACCGTTGGGACCGTTGCTACCATTGCTGTGCCGCCTGCAGCAAGCAGTTCATCTTCTTCGCTCACGCTAATGTAGCGACAGCGCTCGCTGAGCAACGAAGCGGACTCGTCGTCCTCCTCGTTCACGCTCGTGATGCTCACAGTGCGCTGCTTGAAGCCCAGATAGACACTGCTGCCGGATGTGCCTGGCGCATCGACTGCATCTCGAGTCAATGATGCCACTGCCGCTGGTGCTGAGCCTGTCGCTGGGCCGGCTGAGCTCGCTGAAGAAGAAAAAATACAATTTCATATAAGTAAAGGCTCGTAGTATTTCATTTAACGCACAAGATCTGCCATTCCTTGCAGACTAGAGCTGCAAAAAAGACATAATGTTTGTTTTAAGAGGTCCATTCGATTTATTGCTCAAGAATACTTTGGTTCTTGCAGGCAAAGGCAAATAGCTTATCAACATGTTTAGCCATCTAGGAGGCTCCTAACAACCCTATCGAAAAACTCCTCTGAACATCCGCTCGGACTCTGTGGAGCATGCAGGAGTGCACAACAGTCTCTTAACACTTTATTGGCAATTTTTATCTGTGAAATAAACCAAGAACCCTACTGTTGTGAGTCGTGTGTTGAAGGCTCTTTTTAAACTAGATATCAAACTTAAAAGTTTGCGGATCGGTACTATGTACATATGTCACATGGTCGATGAAACCGAATTAATCGATTTTGTCATCGATTATCAACATGTTCGCTGATCAGTGATGTGATGTTATTGATATTCTTCATAATTAAAGATCATGATACAAAAGTTTATAATTCATGCGTAAGTTCATCTATCATGATCAGTACGATATCCTTTTCTTGATATAAGACACAATGCTGTTCGGTTCGATATCGATAGTTGACAAATCGAGAATAAACAGAGTAAATCGAGAAGAAGAACATAAACAAAGCCGAAATTAAAATTATACTATTACGAAGGCCCAATAGTAAGGAATGTACCGTAGGCGCTGACCAGAACTCAAATATATGATCACCAACCCGTTGTCCTGATGAATGCGGGCATGAATATCCCATCCACGAATAGGTAGAAGTAGCCTCAACCTTTTTCCGGTGCACATTTTCAATGCATCTCTGATTACAGCTACTTACATTCTAAACGCTCTCGCCGCGAAGCGTATCGAGACGGCATGGGCGCCAGCTTGATCCGATAGAACTTGGAGCCCCTACTGACGCGGTACCGATTGTCGTCCTGCAAAGAAGGCGCATTCATTAGCAGTCATCCTATGAGAAGGTCATGTGCCCTTTGATGGCACTTACCTTTCGCGCCTGGCAATACTCTTTGTCCACAACTCGACCAATGGCATAGTAAGGCATAGGGATTTGATTCAAATCCGCTACGGCCATGGCCACGGGCACGGCCACGGAGGCGTCAGCAGCGCCAGAAACCGGAGCGAGTGTGCTTGGAGGCGTCAGCTGGAGTCCGGCCAAGCTATCCCCATGGACAAAGTAGAGGGTGAGCGAGTCCTGTACGACCATGAACTGGGCATGGCGCATGCTCCACACGACGAAGACTAGATCGCCCCTGGCGCAGCCCTCCAGGGCAATGGACCGATGACAGGAACCGCCAGCTGACTTGGAACGGGTCAGAGTACCGCCCATTGAAGGCAGATCGTAGCTGGAGCTACAAGTGCCAGAAAAAACATGGAGTTTTAAAGAATAAATCAAGGGCAGAATGCACTCCGAGTCATACCTCTTCATGGCCGCCACACTGGTCTCCATTTCCAGGCGCTTGGTCTTCTCTTGGTTGAGCTCTTCCTCAAGCCGACACTTGTCCCGATTCAGATAGTCGATCTTCTCCTTGAGCCAGCTGTTGCCGTCCTCGTTGGTAATCATCTCCAGGCGCGTCTTCAGCTGGTACGACTCCTGGGTGAGGAACTGGTTCTGCTCTCGCAGCTGCTCCAGCTGCCGCTCCTTTTCGGCCAGCATGTCCTTCAGTATGCCCACGTTGGCCATCACAGATTCTGAGTTCAATGGGAGCAGGCGCGACTGCCACAAGGAGCGCTCCGACTCCACGGCCTCGCTGATGGCTCGCTCGTGCTGAGCCAGCATCTCCTGGCGCTGCTGGAACAGCAGCTGGTCCACATCCACGGTGGCGCTGGCGCTGGCCACGCTGGCACTGCTCGTGGGACGCTCCAGCTTCTCCAGACTGCTGTCCGAGGGCGAGCGTTCCATGGAGGTCATCAGCTTGAAGCGGCAGCGCAGAGACTCCAGTTCTGTTTTGTGCTCGTGGATCAGCTGCTCCCTGGCCTGTGCCACAGCTGCCAGCTTGTCTCGCTCCGCCACCTCCAGCTTGAGGCGCAGCTCCTCCAGCTGCTCCTGGCCCTGCCGCTCGCGCTCCTCGCACTGCATGCGCAGCACGTTCCACTTATCCTGCAGCAGCTGCAGCTCCGACTGCAGCTCGTCCTGGTAACCAGTGGCGTCGCTACGGAACGTGCCCAAGTTGGTACGAGCCTCGGCCAGACAGGCCAGAGCCAGTTTGGACATGTCCTCGATGGCCCCGCGCATCCTCTGGACGCTGGCCCCATTCTCCTCGGTGAGGGTGCCGGCACTGAGCATCAGCAGCTCCTCCGTGGCCGTGCTCCTGGCTATCTGCTCGCCAACGATGCCGCTCGTAGTCGTGCTCACGGACCTGACGGCCGTCGTCAGTTTTTCAAACTCTGTTTCCGTGTCCGTTTCGCAGTCAGATGTGGCCGACGCGGAGGCGGCCGCGGCTCCTTGCAGCTCAACCAGTCGAGGAGCCAACAGAGGAGGCTCCTGCTCGGACTCCTCCTGCTCGCGCTCCCTGCCCAAACCAGATCGATGCACAAAGAAATCTATCACAGGCCTCATGTTCGGCAACTGGAGCTGGGAGGCCAGCTCTGGGAGCTGCACAGATAGCAGCTCAATGTCCGATCTGTTCAGCGGCGGGAGTCGCGTATCGAAGCTGAGGGGATGCTCGTTGGCAAAGGCGGGCGGCATGTCGCCCATGCCGGGAAAGAGGATGTTCAAGAAGTGGCCGTCGAAGCTGGCGTTGAACTCTCCCCGGCGACGCAGCTCCTCGCTGTGGATGCGGTCGAAGTCGATCGAGAGCCGCGTGGCCCACTGACGGAACTCATCGGAGAATATTTTCCGACGCACCACCTCCGCCACAGCCGCCACATAGGTGCAAGGGGCCCTGTGGATCTGCTCGATGATGCTTATGTGCCGCTCGGCCCGCCTCAGGCAGCGGTGATTGAAGAGAAGTCGGTTGTCGAACTCGCTCATGCCGTTCTCGATCCACACGATGCGCCGCAGACGCGTGTGCAGGTTCTTGCCCAGCTCATCCTTGGAGTTGGCTATGCAGCGGCAGTATTCGCGGATCTTAATGTGGTTCTCTAGCATCACCTGCAGCTGAGTGCAGTGCGAGAGGCACAAGTCGGGCAGCACGGAATTGTCGCGCAGATTCTGCGCACGCGCCTCGTTCTGCTGGAGGGCCAGGGCCTGCTCCTTCTGCTCCTGCACCATCTTCTTTATACGGAACTTGAAGTCCTCCAGTTTGCACAGGCGGTCGCTGAGCCCCTTTATCTCCTTAACATCGCCCTGATTGGCCAACTTGATGATTTGTTGCACCTCCTCCTTGAGCTTTTCATATATATCCGCGCTGAAGATGTGCAGCCCTTGGATGCACTCGTCCGACATCAGCTGCAGCGTACTGTGGTTTCCCTTTGAGCTGATCCACTGCAGTAGATTCAAATTGTGGCGACGCACCATGGAGCTGGAGGTGGTGGAGGTCTGCGACACTCTGGTTGCCGCCTGCGTGTCGTCCGCGGGCACGCCCTGACCGGAGCCCTCGTCAGCTCCCTCCTTCTCATCGCCCATCTTGAGTTTTTTGTTGGGCGAGTCTGCTTGCGACGACTCATTCAGACCCTGCTGCTGCTGCTGCTGCTGCTCCTGCTGTTGCTGCTGGGCAAACACATCATCGTTGTCCAGCAGCTCGTCGAAGCCATGAAAATCGGCCTCGGCGAGAGCCATGAGGCCAGGCAGTATGGGAATCCTGGCAAGCTGCTTGAGATCATCGGAGAAGTTCCTCAACAGCTCCAGGTAGCTGTCCCGCTTCTGCAGGTGCCGATCGAAGGCCAGACAGAAGTTGTGGAAGCGCTCACGGAACTCGATGGTCAGATCCTCCATGTTGGCCACCACAGCCGACCAGCCCTGCTGCTGCAGGTGCTGCTCGTGGACCAGTCGCTCGCAAAGCGCCTCCTCCTTGCGCGCCAGCTCACGCATGTGCTGCGCCAGCTGGGCCCGCTGGCGCACTGTCTCGAGGGCCGGCGGCAGTCTGTGGCTCTCCTCCACCTGACGCCGCAGCTCCGCGTCGGCGTCGCTGTTCTGTATCGTAGGCGCCAGCCGCTCGTCGCCTGTGAGAAACATGTAAATGGGATTGGTGTCGGTGCCAGCCGAGTAGCACGACACCTGGGTGGAGTGCGTCAGCATCTCGCCCCCGCTCACCAGCAGCACAATATTGACGGCGGGAATGCCGTGCAGCTTCTGTATTGTCTCCTTCAGGTTCTCCACGGACTGCAGGGCCACGTTCATGTCGAAGCTCAGCATGCGACCGACGTCCACATGGAATACGTACAGCATCATGTAGCTGTTTCTCTATCCCTTCTCTCGGTGTATCCCCCCAGTGAGCTACACCGCTTTCGTCTCCTCTCTGCTCGCTACACTTATGGTTTGGCAGTGCTTCAATAGTATTGGTTTTGTTCCTTCATCTGTACGTGTGTGCTTGCGGTTTCGTGTAAGTGTGTGTGTGTGTGTGTGTGTGGCGCCGAAGTCTGGTGCTGCCACCTGGCGGTTATGCTGGAAGACACAAGAAAAGAGAGCGGGGGAGCAGGTTAGCAAACTTCAGTTCACAGTTGCTTATTTTAACGAAATAAGTAAACAATTTATAAAACAACAAACAAAAACAGGAATTGAGAGGCCCAAGCGGGCCAACAGAAAGCTCTCTCACTTGGAGATGCTCAATTGGCTTTTTATGGGACTGGCTAGATTGATTAAAGATCAAGGGAGAAACTGAAATTAAATTTCCCTCTTTAAAACTGGTTCTAAGTACATAACGAATCATACATTTTTTCAACTATTAGCTTTTTTAAATTTAATGCTCTGAGAGACACGGGTCTGCTAGCTACATTTATCAACAGCTGTTAGACATTGTGACGCTGCCTCTCTCTGTTTGCGTTTGCTCTCTGCCGGAGGTCGGAGTGTGGGGGCAGCTCCAATGTTAATGACTAACTGGAACGGTTTCGAGTCGCAATAAAAAATAGCACAGAAACCATGTGCACAGCCGACTATTCAATTTTATTTTTATAATATTGTTTACAGTTTGTCTGGCGCAGCTTGGGTGCTTGTGTAAAACGTTGATAAGGCGCACATTACAGGAACAATGAAGCAGCACACTTTACACACGCGCACAACATTTGCAAGTTGTAAGCGAAAACAAACTCGACGAATTATCAACGCACCTTAATTTAAACACGTCTAGACTAGCGGGCGTATCGAAAAATAGTGGCTGTTGTCGCGTCACCACTCACCCTCAGAGAGAGAATGGGAAAAGAGAGCGCTGCACGTGTGCGATCGCACACATAAGCACACACACGTATGTATGTATGGACGTAAATATAGGGAGGCTGCTGTTCGTATGTCAATGCCAAGTACACCGCCGACGCTCTGCCCTTTACCTGCGGACATATGTATTCCTTTTTTACCTAAACGAATTTAAGAATGTTTTATGAGCAGATCTGTAGTTTCCAGGAGATTGACAACATTTCTCAAAATTTTCCACCGTTAGAGAGCACGTGTAACGGAACATGATTTTATAGCGGTGATGAAATACCTGGAACGATTGGCTAATTACAGCCCAAACGACCAAGAGAACATCTGTAAGCTACTTTTTAGCAACTTGATGAAATACTAGCTGCCGACACTGAGTAATTAAAGGCAAAAATCGGCCCATTAGTCATCCATGACATGCAAGAGTGCAGTCAAAGTCCCCACCTGGGCCAACCTGACCAAGACCACATCAACGGACGAGCGAGCGAGCCCCAAACTGATAACTATTTATCAGCTGCGCATTTTACAAATGTAAAAGTATATTTATGAAATACATAGCCTAGGCTGAATTATCATATACCAAAATCGAAATTGAAGAGTTTACATAGTTACATAAGTTCGCTATAATACTCGTATCACGGAGAACCCGTTTTGATTCCCAAACTGTCCTACATTTGTACATCAGAATGTAAATAAGAGGTAATCATTTGCAGGAAGATCACTAATGATGATATATGTAAATATCAAAGATAAAACCATGTGAAACGTTTACAAATAGTTGACGTCGTCATGACTGCTGAGAACTCCGAATATCAGTGTAGCTGGAGGAAATACAGTAACCCTGAACGTGTCTGCCCCCACACAGACTGGTCCTCTGCTAACTGATTACACAAACGTTAACGACACCCAAAGAGCAGAGCAGAGCTGTCAGAGTTTATCAGCTCCTCTCGGTCTGTGCCCGTTGTGGGGGGGCAAAAACGAAAAGAAAAACACTTTCACACTCGTAGGGTCATCGGCAATTGGTGAGGGGACATCCATACACACACGGGGAGATTTCGTTAATTGGGAATTATAAATACAGACTTATGTGAAGGGGGCGCTTGTAAATAAGTTCAGCCAAAACACTAGGGCTGGCAGACTTCAAGGCAGCGTTAAAAACAGTAAACAGAAAACACAGAAACGATAAGCTAGACGCAAACAGTGATTAAACAGTGATTAACACTCGAAAATTTAACTGAAACGGCTCGATCAGCTGATTCTCTTGCACCTAATATCGATATTAGATTCCGCACTTTACGCTCTCTTCTGCTCTCACTCTTGCTCAGCTGTGAAATGTTTTGCTTTTATTTTTTTGCACTCTGGGGTTCAAAAATAAAGAAAAATACCCATTTTCTGCGCAAACTAAAACAAGTGCAGGGGCCAGGCACAACTATTCTCTTAAAATATGTAAATGATTGCAATTAATTGTAATTTGGCTCGAACTGACGCATAGTCAACAACAAAAACAACAGCAGAAATATGCAAGGGTTGCTGGCTGACGTTCGCAAAAGAAAATGGCAGCAGGTGTAGCTGCATTTCCAATTCAGCGGGGTGGGTGGGACGCGAATATAGGAAAAGGGAGAGATTTATGCCGTAAAAAAGGCGTCGGCGGATGTTTGTGTGTGTGAATAAAAACTATAACTAACGGTTAATTAAAACTATGCACCGCTCACATTCGCACTTACCTTGTAATCTTTGATCAATTTTCACAATGGCGCGCCTGTGTGGGTGTGGAGCGTTTGTGTGTTTTGGTTTTAATCAATTGTAAACGAGCACGAACACAAAAGCACTGAAAATTATTTTACATCAGCTGTGGCCGTGCCTGTGTTGTTTTTATTTGTGGCCAGCGACAGCAGCGCTGCGCAGCGTCGACGCCAAGTCGAGTCAACAACAACACGACAAGCCTCTTCTTCTTTGCTTTTTGCTTTGGTTTAGCCTTCTCTTCTGCTTCGTCTCTTTCAGCACGAGTATTATATTGTTTTATTTTACGTTTACTTCAAATGATTTTCTTATTTATTTTGTATCGCTTTGCTTTTTCCGCTGCTTCTTCTTGCTTATGCTTATTACTTATTACTTTAAAGCTATTTTCGTTGCGTATCAAATACGTATGCAAGTGTGTAAAACCGTTTGCCTAAATGTATTTCTGTTTTTCCTCATTAATATGTTGTTTATGCAAAAATATATATTCCCATTTGCCCCCGCAGTGCTTGGGTTGTTGCGTTTTGTGGGCACTTCGTTCTCTTTTGCTGTTTTCTTCCCTTATTAATCTATTTCTTTGTCTATCACAATTGCGTTGTTGTTGCTGCTGCTGCTGTAGGTGTTGTTTTTGCTTGTTTGCTTGCTTATGCTTTCTGCATCTGGTTGTAGCTGTTGGCAGTTTTATTTCGCGTCAGTTTTAAGCCAGTTACCCGAAGCCATTTAACACGTTTTGGTTTTTGGAGTCACACAATTTCACTCACGCATATTGTTGATATTCTTATATTTCTAATTAAATTATATGGTATAAAAATGAAATAACGCACTTCGTTCTCACTTATGCTGTGAGAATGACGACCAAATATTTTTGGTAATATCGATAGCATGAGTAAATCATCGCATCGCCCAAGAGTGGTGATACGTACTGTTGCCATATCAGCAGTTTTCTAGCTAGATCTTTAAAGTTTGATTGCTATACAAATTTGAAAATTACTATTGCCTGAAAATATATTTATAAGTTTTATTTTCAAAGTCTGCGAGCAAAACTTGCACTATTGGAGGTGGTCAAACGTTGAAAGTGTCTTCCCACAGGTTTGAAATCCAAGCTCAGGATGAGATACCGTTTTCGGAGGTATCCAAATGCCGCCAAAGTTCGATTTGGTCGAGTTTCATGAATAGAAAATAAAATTTCTTTTTTAGCTACCTTTGTAATTTTTTACCACAAAACTTTCTATAAATCCTGCTAAATTATAAATCCTCCTTCAAGTGTCTACTTGAATTTTAAAATCAACAATCATTTCATCCCATCTCTACTTACAGTTCATAAAGAATAGCTATCGATAGTCACCCACCACCAGCGAAAAAGTGCAAACCCAACATACAGAAAATAATTTTAAAATTTCTTTTTAGCAACCAGCGCGCCGTTGGCATAAAGTGAAAGCATTAATTTCATTTAAGTATCATTGACAAGGTTCTGACATTTACAAAATTAGAAACCCACAGTGGAATAGACGGACCGGACACAGAATTTTCTCCCATTTAGGCACACATAAATAGATACTCACGTCGTCAAATGACAGGGGCGGTATTTCTGTTCATCTAAGGTGTTCTTTGAGATAATTTTTCTTACCCCAGGTGTAACTTTTTCTGTGTATTTGGTAAACACATAACAAAACGATATCTGTTTCCGTATTTTGCCCCATTTATTAATTACATTACATTGTATTTTGCCGAAAATAACTCCACATAACATATGTACATTGAAAAATGATCAACATTCAGACTATAGAAAATGTGGCAGACTGCACACCACTTTACCTGCCCCACAGCTTGTATCTCAAGCCGTGGGCAAAAATGCAAATCTCCGTTTCATTGCCGAAAATTAAATCCGGCAAATCCGTATCCAACTTGGAGATAATGGACAAACTGAGCGCTGAGCTCAAACCGGACAAGTTTCTAGTGCTCAAAGTATGTACCTGAGCTATATCAGCAGATGGAAGGCGTCTTTAACTTCTCCTTGGATTACAGGTATCCAAGAGCACTGTAGACTACATACGCTTCGAAGCGGAGCTGGACGAGCGCAAGCGTCTTCGTTTAGCCCGAGAACGTTTGGACGGCATTTCGTTGCGCATCTCTGGCTTCAGCGAATCTTTCCGAGTACGATGCGCCGAGTCCAAGGATGAGTTTCCCACACGTCACGACTGGGACTCGTATTTTCGCGATGCCCGAAACATGGATGAAATGAAAGCGGGCGAGAGGCCAGATACCATTCATCTAACTCATCTACCCATGCGTTGGTTCTGCCCAAGGCACTCCGAGCACGAGGAGCAGGTCAAGCCGAGCGAAAGCATTTTCAAGCGCATCTTCGAGAAATTTGGTCGCGTCCGTGCCGTAGACATACCCATATGTGATCCTTATCGTAAGAGCATGCAATCGGACATCAACGGAATGCGTACGTTCAGTTTCGAGCAAGATGTTCTCTTCGAAGCGTGAGTATTACATTCCTGATCTGGGCGAATAGATATTTCGTTACAATTTGAATCCTTGCTTCAGCTATGTACAGTTTGAAGAATACACCAGCTTTGTACGTGCTATGGATGAGTTCCGTGGCACAAAGCTAGTACGAAAGTTCGTGGACAAGACCCAGGCCATCAACATTTGTGTCAACTTCGACAAGCAGAAGCATCTTAGCGACTCCCATGTCCAGCGCCGCGAACGCATGAGAAAGCGGTGCATTGCCAAAGCCCAGGCGGAGGATGAGGAGCGGGATCGCTTAAAGAAACAACAGGCCGAACAACTGGAGCGCGAAAGGTTTGATATTTGTTCGAGTCAGGAAATGAAGTCAATAATCAAGATAGGCTAAAGATTTGTTTTACAACATCTCTTTTAATCATATAATATTCCTTGCACACTTCCGATTCTTCATTTAGTTTTTATATAGAGTTGTATAACTACTGCGAGTATTATTGGTTTCATATCCTGGCGTTTGACATTTTTCTCTCACAAAGAGTATTGCTTTTTATGTTTCTCACACGGCGGTCGTTGGGCGAGTGGGGCCTTTAGCCTACCCTACCGTTCTCTGTATCTTCTAGACGAACAGTTAACAAAAAAAATATTTGTATGCATATAACAAAAAATATAGACAAGACAAAACAAAATCCTGCAAAATTGCAAAAAAAATTACAGGCAAAAGCAAGAAGAATTGAAATTAGCCGAGGTGGAAAAGCAGCGTGAACGGGAAGAAAAACGAAAAGAAAAACATCTCAAAAAAATCCAAGAGCGCGGCCAGGTGGAGATCTCTCAAAAGATACGCATCGAGGAGCGCAAGCTGTTGATAGCTCAGCGCAAGCTGGAGAGCATACGCACCCTGGAGAAGCTATTTGACCGCATACAGGTACAGATACAAGCGGGAGCTACACAACACTTTCAATGTTTATTGATAGCATTATTTGTTTTCTCTGTAGTTGAAGCAGAAAGATAAGCCACGTCGGGCCCGACAAGATGAGGCCAAGGACATTCAACGTGGCCGTCTGGTGGAGAAGTATAAGGCTGCCACAGAGAAGCTGGTTTCTGAACAGCGAAAAATTGTTCAGGAGATCAAAAGCAATACTCCATTAATGGGTCTGCTAAAGAGTAAGTCCAAGAAGAACTCTGCTGCCGATTGCAGCAGCGACGACGAGAACGCCAAGGGTGCCAGCAAGAAGCATAAGGGAAATGGCTTGGTCGCAACTGCAGCTCCCGGGGCTGCAGATTCCCTATCAAATGCCGCCAGCTCCGCATTGAATCCATTTAAGCCCGCTACTGCCATGCCCGTTGGCGCTTTACCAGGCCAAGCCGCCTACAATGCCGAAGCAGCCAGCGAGTGGATGCAATCGCTGTCCATGTTCGGATACGGCTTGCCCGGAGTCTTTCCTGGAGCTCTTTATCGCCCCGCAGCTCCATTTCCCGTCTCTAGTAATTATAGAGGATTTGCCCCAAGACCCCGCGGTCGAGGTCGGGGTCGTGGTGCAGCCTTCCGTGGTGGTCGTCCTGGGTACGATGGATCATCCTCGTACTACAATCCTAAGCACGATCGCTATGGCGACGAAGATAACGATAATGGCTACCATCACAAGTCGTCGCGTGGAAGGTACATATATTGTAAGCATCTGGGAATCCTTGTATTACAAGTAGATCTATTGTAATTGCAGGCATCGCTCGCGTTCTGACTCGTCCTATTCCAGGAGTCGGAGTAGATCGCATGGACGACGGTAAGTAATTCGCTTCAGAATGGTGTTTTTCATTTTTTTTTGAACAGAATCATCTGTCGTTCCAGACGCTCTCAGTCGCGCAGTCGCAGTCGATCCCACTACCGCAAATCATCTTACTCATCAAGATCAAGGTAACGCAGCAACAGCCCGCGTCATTTCATCTACTATATTGTACTAATTGTGAAATTCTGTATTTATAGACGAAGTCACAGCCGATCTCATTCGCGCAGTCGCAGCAAGACGCCGTCACAACGGAAGAATCGCAAATTGGCCTCCACGCGACGATCCCGCTCGGTCAGCTATTCACGATCCCGCTCCCACTCTCGAAAGCGCTCTCATTCCCGTCGCGAGCATCGCAGTCGTCACCGGAGTCGCAGTCGTAGTCGAAGTCACAGTCGCAGCCCCAGTCGTAATAATTCGGACAGAAACATTGTTCTGGAGGCTGACAAACTAGTTGCCTCTGCTGAGCAAATCCAGCGCACCATCGAGCAGCACACCAAGGATCGAATGCGCGAAGAGGAGCGGGAAATAAAGCAGAATTTCCGGCAGCAGAGAACCAACAGCCACAGCAGCAATCATGTGGACACCAAACTACAAAAGGAATCAAACGATGAAGATAGACAAGGCGGCAGCAAACGGAGCAGTCGCCGCAACTCTCTGGCTGCATAGATTTCAATTATTTTAGCATTGTTTTGTAAGGTTCCACACAAAAAATAAAATGGTCAACATAAGCCTTAAGAGACAGTTTCTCTACCTTTACAGAGGGTATTGTGAACTGTTTTAAGATATTTGGAATACAGAGAACAACCGGAATAATCTTCCAAGAATACATTACAAAAATATACGATTCTCTATTTTAGTTCTCTAAAAATATAATTTCCTCTATAGTAGTATTTTCACACTCCACAAAAAGCTTTTTCTTCATTTTTAATAACAAAAAATAATTAAAAAGAATTTCTTCTGTTTTTCCCATACCGGGAATTGAACCCGGGCCTCCCGGGTGAGAGCCGGGTATCCTAACCACTAGACAATATGGGATAGACATGTATAAACGAATTCCAGCTTCACAAAAATAGATGGTTCTTTATTTTATAGCTATATACTTATATAGAGTTGGTTTTATCCATACTTCCAAACGAGGGGTATTACTTTATTCCCGGTACTTAGTCAGTACACATGTGAGCTTATGATTTATGTAACTTATAAAAAATATCTGGATCTGGAAGGCGCCCGTGGAGTCCGTAAGTTTAATATTAAACGAAAGTGTTAAATATTTATTGTTGAGTTAAAAATTAACCTATTGAACTGAGATATTCTATATCATAGGAAAATGCAGTCCGATCAGTGCGATATATAGTATAGCTGCCATCTGCTAAATATCGTATTTTTCAATTTTGAACTCAAGTCGAATCAGGCTATCTTGAAGTGAAGTTCTGCAGCGACTCGCGCCTCATGAAAGCACACACACACAAATTTGGTACCGCTTCCATTTGGAAATCATATCAATGGGCCTGG